TCCCATAAGTAATGATGAAATTCACATTCCCCCATCAGATTTCAGTTAAGATGATTATTTTTCTTAGCAGTACATTTTACCTATTAAATGTGCTTAGACCTCTACTATTTGAGGTGTCAACTGTAAACAATAATTCTTAGACTTCCAGTTATTGCAGATGAAGACATCAGCAAAATTACCATACTTCCCACCCACTTTTTGTTAGTTGTGTTTGCATTCAGCTCTGTCGCCTAAACTCCATTTTTGTTTTTGCCTCAATTTGCCAGTTAAATATATTCCATGCTCCCAATCAATCTTTTGTCTAAGTTCTCCATGACATTTTGGTGAGCTGAAATGAAGTTCATCTTTCAGTACTTCCTTCCTGCAAAAAGGACTCATGAGAACATTGCCTGAGTTCTTGCAAATTTACACCTGTTTGTCTTTAAGACCAACCTTGCTGGGTATAAATCCTTGTCTCACACATTCTTTTCTTGAAGGTATTATGGTATTGTGTTGTTCAGCTTTGAATCTTCTGATATTGAGTTGCTGTGGCCTGTAGGAAATCAGCCTGATTTTTAACCCCTCTTTATATGTGACTTGAGCTTTTTGCCTGGCTGGTCAAATAATTATTTTTTTACCTTTAGTTTTTCAATAACTTTATAGGCATATATCATCAGTATTTACAACTTTGCGTCAGTTTTCTGTGATATGAGTACCTTTTGAATATATAGATTCAAGTTTTCTTTTATTTGAGGAAAATAAATAAGTTGGTCTCAATATTCACAAATTGCATTTAATAGTTTCTACCAAATAGGGTGGTTGTGAAGATTCCTGAGCTAATGCACGGGAACCACATGTTTCAGTGCCTAATTTCATCTTGAGAAATAAAATGATTATCATTATTATTAGTAGTATTTAAAAAGTATTGAATGAGTACCTTCTCTTGATTAAGCACAAAGTAATGCCAAAAATAGGTAAGTCACACCCATTATCCTTAAATACTGATGTGTGGTCACGATGTGGTGTGTGCTTTCACTGTGTAAATACGTAATGCCAAAGATCCTCGAGGAAGGACGCAGGAACTAAGAGGATCAATGACATTTTCATGGAAGTAGAGACTTTAATTAAGTTGAAGGTTGAATGTTATTAAATTTTATATGGGAGTGAGATGATGAAATCAAATGAAAAGTAGGCAGGGGAATTTTGGGCAAGAAGAACCACATGAACCAAGGCTTGGAGGTGTGAGAGACCACGGTATGTTTGAGAAAGTGCATATGGCTATAGGAAGGGTGATGGGTGGAAAGGTGACAGAAGCAGGTGGAGGGACGCTGTGTCTTGCAAAGTCCTGGGAGCCAGGGAGGAGCTGGGCTTCATGACACAGGATGTGAGGGGCTTCTGCAGGACCATAAACAGAATATCCTGGGTACGTGGTAGCTTTGCATTGCTCACTCTGGCTACAGGAGGGGCAATGGATTGTAGAGAGTGGCAAGACCAGGAAGGATAGAGAGGGGACAGTTCCACTCATCTAGGTGAGATGTGCTGTTATTCTGGCCTTCAATTGCATCTCTGTTGGTTAGTTCTCACATTGCTAAAAATGTCTGAGACTGGGCAATTTATAGAGAAAAGAATTTTAATTTGCTCATAATTCTGCATGCTGTACAGGAAGCATAGTGACTCCTGCTTCTGGGGAGGCCTCAGGAAACTTAACAAGCATGGTGGAAGGGGAAGGGGAAACAGTCATATCTTCCATGGCCATAGCAGAAGCAAGAGAGAGAGGGGAGATGCCACACACTTTTAAACCACCTCTCAATACCCTAGATACATATTTTGCACATGAAATGAATGAATACACAAAGAATTCTGCCACAGTTTAAAAACAGAAACAGAAATGCGGAGCAAAGCTACGATCACATCCCTCTGTGACTTATGGCTGAGTGTCTTCAAAGGCAGAGGCAGAGGCAGGGGAGGTGGCCCATTGACCACAAAGGCCCTGCTGGGAGAGCACACACTTACAGCAGGTCTAGAGGAAAGGCCAAGATCCTGAGCTCAGAGCCCAGGAGGGAGCTGAGAAGAAACTGTGAGAGGGAAGATGCACATAGCTTCAAATACCTCAGAAAGTGCTGTCTGCTTGACCTTCTTAGTGTGGAAGAATTTGAGACTCCGCTCCTGCTTGGTGGAAATTAAAGCAGCACCTACGGATAAGTAACTCCGTCTTCTTGCTGCTTAGGAAAATACCCAGGTTTGCAGAGGGACAAGATCTGCCCAAGACACACAGTAAGGAGAGAGAGGGACCAGGACTGTAGAGAAAGTTTAAAATCACATGTAATTGTCAGGTCATTCCTACTGGCCTTTTCATTCACACCCCTGTTACTTAAATTGCAGCATTGTCTTTTGAAACAGCCCCTTGAATGCTGCATCCTTCAGTCTATGTGGCTCCAAGCTGTCTCTGAGCTCATGCAGGTTGCTCCAGTGTCGGCTATCAGGAAGCATTCTCCTCTGCCCAACCCTCAACAAGAACTCATTCATTCAAAAGTAATTTCCTGAGCATCCCTCCTGTCTGAGGGGTGGGGACACGAAGGAATAAGCTGCTGTCCATGACCTTGAGTTCATAGTCCGGCAACAGAGGCAAACATGGGGGACAGTCTCATCCTGATGGCAATAGGTGGAAAGACGTTTGTGCTGTTTTTAACAACCACTGAAATAGTTATAGAGTTGGAGAAACTGAGGCAGTTGGTCTAAAGAAGCGTGCCTGGAATGCTCAAGTCAAAATGAGAAAGCTGAGAAAACACAGTGTGACTTCTTAGGTGACTTGAGACTCTCTCATAAAGCTGCCCATATGGTTTTCCCTTCTCCTCCAAGGCCCCAGGTAGAACTGTGCTTCCCAGCCCCCTGAAGCCATGTCACATGACCAGGCATGGCCAATGGGCCAATGAGGTGCGAGCATAAGTGAGCATAACAGGTGGCACCTGCAGTTGGCACCTCCAGTGTCTGCTCCGCAGGCTCCCTTTTTCCTGCGGCAATGCTGAGCAGCAATGCTCCTGATGGTGGTGCCCCCACCAGCTCGGGCCGTAAAGGTAGGACAGGTGTGTGAGCCCTCCCCTGCTCCATGGCAGCTACATAGGGAAAGTGAGAAATAAACTTTTGTTGGTTAAAGTCACCGAGATTTGGGTTTTTATTGAAGCACAATCTGGTGTGTCCTGACTGATACCACCCAACCCCAAATGACTTTACTGACAAAGTCCACAATTTGACCCTTAGAAATTTCTTTTTCCAGGGTAAAGATTGATACATTTTATTATATTAGTCAGGTGTAGCTAGTTTATGCAACAACAAAAAGTCCCTAACCTAAGAAGGATTTATTTCATGCTCAGAGTAGAGTCAGATTTGAGTCAGGTGGCTCTACTCCATATTGTACCTGTGCCATCAGGACACACAGCCTGCAAGGCATATTGACTCGTAACCGACAAAAGCCGCTCTGCTCATAGTCCATTGGCTAGAAATAAACACATGACCCCAAACTAGCTGAAAGGATCTGGGATGGTCAGTGTTACACATCAACTTGAATGGGCCACGAGATGCCCAGATTAAACATTCTCTTGGGTTGTGCCTGAGAGGGTGTTTTAGGATGAGATTAGCATTTGAATCAGAAGACTCGGTGAAGTAGATGGCCGTCCCAGTGTGGGTGGGCACCATCCAGTCCATCGACGGCCTGAATAGAGCAAGGCAGAGGAATGGAGCGTGTTCCCCCATTTTTACTTGAGCTGTAACATCACATCTCACCTTCTCCTGCCCTCACAATGGGATTGACATCATTGGCTCCCCTGGTTCCAGGCATTGGGGCTGGCATGGGATTACACCATGGGATCCACTGAGTCTCCAGCTTCCACATGGCAAATCATGGAACTTCTCACTCTCCATAATCACATGAGCCAATTCCTCACAATAAAGCTCTCTCCTCTCGCTCTCCATATATATGTGTAACTGACAAAAGCTGCTGTGGACCCAGAACATGATCAATTTCAACACTGCCCCTGCAGAGAGCAGGTAGGAGGTATTCTTGGATACTAGTCATGCTGAACTAAATGACTTTTACCTGTGTAACCTCAAGGGAGTCCTATTACCTCTCCGTGCCTATGTTCCTATATCTGTAGAATGAGAATAATACTGCAATCAATCTGAAAGGATTCTTGTGAGGAATCAACAAATTAATATATTGGAAGCATTTAGAAGTCCCTGACACAAATTATGCAAGTGCTAACTATTATTTTTATTATCGTTATTTACCATTATCTACCTGTCTCCTACCAAACCCTGTGTGAACCACAGTCTGCTACTGTGAGTTACATGGGCATGCCACCCTACCCTGCATCCGTCATTTGTTTAATGTACAAAAATGACTTCATATCCCACCCTACTTAAAAATTTGCTACTGAAGTCGAGCTAAAGATATGAAAGAAAAAATGTGCCAGTGGACATTCACGCAAGTAAATCAGTCGTTTATGATGACCTGAGCTCCGAACCTAGCTACATGTTACACAGACACTCAGAAGGGCTTTTGTACACACTGTTAATATTTCCTAAATTTTCTAGGAAGCAACTACAGTGTAAAGTGAGAGAAGCCTGTGCTTTGTTTGGCCTGGAGTTCTTTCAAGAGTTGCTTGCTGCTTGGGAACATTACAACACTCACGCCAATTGTACTCACAGTCTTTGAATCACCAGCAAAACACACTCAAGTTGGTCTGTGTTTATGACTGAGCATTTACAGTGGTTTCTTGTTTATAGGTGTTGGTAATCTGTTTCATCACGTCTTCCAGTACAGTCATGTCCAAGCACTTGCATATTTAGAAATGTATTACAAATCATTTTCCTTTATTTCTCCTTTGTATATAAAACTGCATTATATCAATTGTCTTAAAATTACGTATGTAAGGAGATCATACGATCTATAATTTGGATTTCAGATAGTAAAGAACATCTAGTTTACAAAGGGAAATGAGTCATGAGTTTTGGTTCTTTTCTAGGAAATGAATGGGTCAGAAAGAAGAAGCTTGCACAGAGGGTGTGGTGGAATTCCAGGTACGTAAACAGCGCTTAGAGAAGTTACCCTATGCTCCTCTGTCATTCTTCCCTGGCCTTCTGCACTCTATTTTCTTCCAGCTTCTAAGACATTGGCAGTTTCCATGCATCTTTGCCTTTTAAATTATCTAGAAATAATTACGTTTCTTGGTTCTTGTACCCAGTGGGTTTGGGTTTTTTTTTTGTTTGTTTTTTTAGAAGAAACAGCACTAGGTTAGGAGATGGAGGACCTCAGTTTGAGTCTTCTGCTGGTGACGTTGGGACACTGCACTTGTCTGGGTCTCTGCTTCTTCATCTGCAAAAGTGAGAATAATCATCTCATTTCTGAGCAGGGAGTGTTTTGAGCTCCATGGGGGCCGCAGGAATACAAGGCAGCAGGCCCAGGAGGGTGGAGATCACAGCCCCTGAAGAGAATAAATCAGGCCTGCAGGAGAGCAAGGCATGCTGGGAGGAGCTCAGGCTGGCTCTGCTCCTCAGAAGGCCCTGGGACTCATGTCTGCTCTCCGAGCCTCAGTTTCCCCATCTGCAAAGCAGGCCAGGGGCAGAACTAACTAGATGGACTCTCAGGTTCTTTTGCCCACAGACGCTCTGTAAAATTAATTTGAAGGTAGATTTGTCCATGGAAAGGAGAAATATATTTATTCAGAAGAGATAGTTTCTGTGATGGTTTAATTTTGCATCAACTTGACAGGGCCAAGGGGTTAATGCCCCGATTCACCATTTTTTTTCCTTGTGTCTGTGCAGGTGTTTCTGGATGAGACTAGCATTCAAGTCGGGGGACTCAGTAAAGCAGATGGCTCTTCCCAATGTGGGTGAAAACCATCCAATCCATCGAGGGCCTGAACAGAGCAAAAAGGCAGAGGAAGGAGGGAGAGACTCATCTCTTTTGCTTCCTGCATGCCTGGTGGAGCTGGGGCATCTCACCTTCTCTTGCCCTTGCGCTGGGACTTACAGCATCCAATTGACTTGTTCTCAGGCTTTTGGACTCGGGCTGGAATTACACCACTGGCTTTTCCTGGCTTTCTCTAGCTGCTGGATGGAATATGGTGAGAATTCTCAGCCTCCACAACCACATGGGCCAATTCCTCACAATCTTTTCATTAATTTACATCTGTATCTACGTATATCTATATGTCTTTCCTATTGGTTCTGTTTTTTTGGAGACCCATAATGCATTCTATTCTAATGATGGAAGGAAGCTAAGCCCCAATTGTTCTGCAAGTCTGGGAGTCACATTGGAAGAAATAGTCTCTTAGTGGAAGGTGATAGTGGTCATTTCACATGCTGTGGATGCTCCCAGGCAAGGGACGTTGTGTCTAAAACACAGGCAAAGGGCTGTCACTCATAGCCTGGGTTATCACCAGGGACATGCATTCTCTCATTTGATTCATATCTTCTCTAGCCAGGCTCCGTGCTGGGTGCACCACTGAGGCTGCTCTAGGTCAATGGAGGAAGTGGGTACAGAGAAAAGCTGAGCCAAAGCTCTGTGCTCTGATGACTGAGGTAGTTCAGGCAACTATGAAAGGGAGTATAGGGCAGGTTCACCTAAGGCAGCCAGGGCAAACAGGTGTCAGGGGAAGTGCCAAGGAGGCACAATACTTAAGAGAACTCTTCTAGGCAAAGAGAAGGTTTGGAAAGCGTGGTAGTTCCAGGCAGTGGGAACAGCCTGTGCAAAAGCATGGAAGCATGAGAAAATGTGGTGGGTTTTAGGAATAATTAATAATCCTACCTGTTGGACATAAAATAGGGGATTTGGAAAATCCAGAATTGAGGCTGATTGATTAGATAGGGGCTGGCCAGGAAGACCCTTGTATAGCCTCATGAAGAGTCCTGATTGTCCTTTGGGCAATTGGGAGCGACTGAGGGATTAGAAACAGGAGGCTGACATAATCAGGTCTGTGTTTTCAAAAGCCCTTGATGTCTTCCATTATGTGTGGAAGCCCCAAGTTAGGAAGACAATGCTAGAAAGAATGAAAATTGAACCCTGACCGTGGCCATAGGAATCAATGGAGGGCTGACCTGAAAGATACTGTAGCAGGAGGAAGAGGAGAGAGAGACTGGAAGGCAGCCCAGGTGGTTGCCGTCAACAAGTCCTTGGGCAGAGAGTATTGCCCAGACATGTAGAGGACAAATGTAAGACAGCTGAGATATAAGATGATGATGAGCAACTGATGTAGGGCAATGTCACATGCATCTTTGTACCAATCCTGAAAGCTGGTTGCTTTGGGATGTTGGATATTCAGAGAGAGGAAGTGACTTGCCCAAGGTCACACCTCCAGGAATCCGGCTGTGAGTACAACTTCCCTATGTTAAGTGGGACCTTAAATGACAGAAGTTTGGGAAGCCCTACCAGAAGCTCTCAGTGGCCTGCTGCTGTGCCACTGAAATGTATTTCAGCATCTGAGAGAGACTGTGCGTTGTCCCCCAGCAAACCTGGACTGGACCTTGCAGCATCGTCAGCTGCTCTGGGGGAGGAGAGACAGAGTTCACCGATCTGAACAGCAGTGTCTTTGGTTGTCATGTGACTGAAGATGGGTAGAGATGTTCTTTTGGTAAACATAATAAAAATCAAAAATAATAAACTGAGGTGTGATTTCTTCCACGATAAACCGTAAAATGTCTCTCATATTCTTCCCAGCCTGAATGCCTCTCCTTCCCCCTCTCTTCCCTTTGGCTTGTGAACGTCTCATTCCTGCCAATAGGTCAGTTGAGTTGGAAAATTAATTGTCTGCTCCGGTGGATGCCAAGGTTCCTGCGTGGCCTTTCTCATCTGACCCAAGTTCATGTGCCCTTCAAAGCCCAGCTAAGATGGTCCCTTCTCTTGGACGCCTCCCTGCTGCCCAGCCATGCCCCCACTGCACACATGCAGCCAGCTGAGGTCAGTCCCTGTCTCTTGAGCCTTCCCCAGCCCTAGGTGACCCTCATTCTCTCAGCAACTGCTCCCATGGGCTTCACCCTTAGACTCTGAGGGTCCTGTCCTGGGAGTGGGGACTTTGCCTTCTCTGCCTTCATATCTTCCTTCCTAAAATGTGACTGCCACCAAAATGCTGAATCAATGGACAAATGGATGAATGAATGAGTGGATTTAAAAGATGCTAGTAAGATGAACTGACATGAAAACACTATCTCTGAGACATTAAAAATGTTTTATTAAGTTATTTTTATAAAACACACATACTGAGCCCAAAATATCCTTACAGTGGCCAAGGTTGTAAAGTGAAAAATCTTTCCACCTCCCAGGATCACTCTCCAGATGCTGCTGCCCACAGATGTCTTCTCCTATTTTGAGATATTTCCCTTTTACATGCTTTACACAATTGGAGGCATGCTGCACAAACTCTTCAAATAAAAGAAATAAAATAAGAAGAAATATTATTCTTTCTTTTAACTATATCATAGAGATTGTACCACATCATTTTCTTCTTTCTTTTTCTTTCTTTCTTTCTTTCTTCTTTCTTTTTTTTTTTTTTGAGACAGAGTCTTGCTCTGTCGCCCAGGCTGGAGTACAATGGCATGATCTCCACTCACCACAACCTCTGCCTCCTGAGTTGAAGCGATTCTCCTTTCTCAGTCTCCACAGTAGTGGTGATTACAGGCATGCGCCACCATGCCCAGCTAATATTTTGTATTTTGAGTAGAGACGGGGTTTCACCGTCTTGGCCAGGCTGGTCTCAAACTCCTAACCTTGTGATCCACCCGCCTCGGCCTCCCAAAGTGCAGGGATTACAGACGTAAGCCACTGCACCTGGCTGACCCATTTCTATTCAGAGTTGTAGAGTTCCTTTTTACATGTATGCAATAGTTCATTTGGCCAAGCTTCTACTGGAAAACAAGGATGACATGCCAATTAATAATCTCAACTCCAGGGCATGTTAGCCTTCATCCTCACTAGCACTAGGTATTCTTTTATTCATTTTGGACCTTGCTGGCTTACTTCTGGTTAAAGGAGATGGTGGTGTCAATGTGCATTCAGCTGTTCTCTTTGCATTGTATTTACTTAATCATTAATGTTTTTAAATACTTTCACCAACCACTGTGAAAACACTTCAAAGGCAAGGACAATATCATACACAATTACTGCTCTCATGTGGCACTAAATACATGTCTGAAATGAATCAGTAAATGAATATCTGGGTGGTCAAATCTGGAGTTGGGAAGGGTTGGCAAATATTTTATAAAGCAAGGTCAGTGGTTAAAAGTCCAGTTGATTAGGCCATTTCCTGCACTATATTCTACCAAATCAATGCAGCAATTCATTTAATCCACTTTCTACTAATGTCTGGTTAAGTTCCTTTTAATCCTTTACTATTCTAAATGATGCTGTGTACTTTTCTGAGTACTTTTCTATGAAATAGCTCTAGAAAGTTCTAAGTGACAAATTGCTGAATCAAAACATGCATTGTTTTTAGAAGGTTTTGATATATATGATCAAATTTTTCTGCTAGAAGATTTGCAGAAATTTTCACTCCAATAGGGCCCTCTGAGTCTTTGTCATACCTTGTTCCATCCTTGAGCAGGGAAAAGTTATGTGAAACGTAGACATGTGTTTCTTCAATTATTAGTTAGGTTGAATATACTTTTACATGCATGTTGGCCATTTGTATATCTTATGTGGATTCTTTGTACATTTCTGTGGTCCGTTTTCCCATTGGGATTTTGCTTTAGTTCTTTCCTGGCAGAATGTCACTGTAGGGTATCCAATGAAGCACATCCCTCGGTGTGTGTGCCCTTCTTCCCTTCCCCCTCAAATCTGGCCAGGCTGTTCAGGTGACCCACATTGAGAGAAAGTGGCAGATGTAACACCTGGACTGTTTCAGGACTAAGCCTTCAGAAAGCCTGACAGCATCTGCCTTTGCTCTGATGGAGGCCAGTAGCCATGTACCAAGACCAGCTACCTTCACACCCCCAGACTGTGAGAAGTCTGACCCAGCCACATGGAGAAACCATGAGCAAGAATGCTGAGGCCCCAGCCAACAGCCTTGCCAGAGCTCCTTGTAGCCACCCATGTGTGCAAGCTGTCTCAGAGGAGGGTCCCCTAGCCACCTGAGCTACCACCCTCTGTCCAAATTTTAGAATCATGAGTGAATAAGTAAAACAGCTGCTGTTTTAAGCCACTAGTTTGGAGTAGTTTGTTATGCACAAAACTATCATTAAAAAACCCAAAACACTTCCACTGTGTAAGAATTCCACAGATTAAGATTTATGTATTAACGGTATTATCAGAAGTTAACTATCATGGTTCAGTTTTTCCCCAGAATTTTTCACCTTTTTATTATAGCTGACTTATTTAGCCAAATCTATTAATTTTTCTCCATACAATTTGTTTTCGATGTCATGCTTAAAGCTCTTCCTCACCTCAATCGGGTATAATAACATTCACTTCTATTTCTGCTAGTCTTGTATTTATCTATTGGTTTGTTTTTATACATTGTATTAGAAGTTTTCATCAATCTAAACTTTATATTGATCCAGAGCAGGAACAGAGGAAAAGCCTGTGGCTGCTTTTCCTGGATTTGAGGGCAGAAGACAGTGGGGTCGTGGGTCGGGGTAATGAGAGGTTGTGTGAGGTCCCACACCTGCTGGAGGAGGGATGGACAGCATCATCCAAGAGCAAGTCTGCTGTGGCAAATCCTTTGCTAAATCTATTCTGTATCATGTGCTGGAATCCCCTTCTGGATTCCAGGGTCTCTGGGAGCAAGGATGGGTTTTGGTCATTTCTGTAACCCCAGAGTTCGGCACAGTGTCAGGGGCTGGGGAGGAGCTCAGCGGGTCCTTGTTGAGTAAAGGATGAAGATGTGAATGGCTTCTTCTTTCCTTGTTTTCATTTCTGTCCTGTAAAGCTCATGAGGAGGGGAAACCTCTGGTTAGCTGAGATTAGAGTGATGTCACTGGTTGAATTCTCTGGAAAGCAGAGATGGAGACGAGTAGGCACAATTTTATTAGGGGTGTCCTTAGGATCCACATTTACAGACAAGATGCCAGGGTCAGAGCACATCCTCTGATGTGATGACTCTTATCTCCCCTCAGATCCTCTGTGGTCCCCACTGCACATGCTACCTCCTTATCTCCTGCAGGGCCAACAGAGTCCCTTTACGACATTACAGGCCAGAGCTGGTTCTGAAAATGACCACGTCCAAGCCCAGCTGGAAGCCAACTGCAAGTGGATGAGGAGGCAGCAGACAATTCTAGAGGAAGAGCCACTCTTCAAGATGGCTGGCTTCTCTCCACCAGGACAAAACTACAAAACAGTCAAGGTACATCATGCACAATGTACCGTATGAATCTTGGTAGGATCTTACCTTGAAAAAAAAGCTATACAAGTTATTTGGGAGACCATTCTGGACATTGGAATAGAGACTGGGTATTAAATTGGAATAGGGACTTCTTGTTAATTTTCTCAGGTGAGATTATGGGATTGTGGTTATGTGAGGGAGTGAGACCTGGGTGTGATAACCCACAATGTGCAGGGTTGTAAGAATGAGACATGAGTATAGCATAGACCTGAAAATACTCACTAAATTCCAGTGGTGCTAGCAAGCCTCACTCATGTGATGAGATATTAAGGAGCCATACAAATAAAAGCGCTACTATGCGTTGAATGTTGACTATATTTCAGCAGCATGCGAGGCATTATGCTGTTTAATCTTTACACGGTACGAGATATTATTATTATTATTTTCCCTTCATAAACAATGAAAATGGGATCTAGAGAAGCACGAAGAAGTTATTCAAGGCATAAAGAGGAACATGAAGTTAATTAACGGAAAGCTGAGGTGAAACCAAACCTGTCTATCTGTATGTCATAAATTCTTAAGTGTTTGGCTACATTACATTATGGGGTTTATAAATAATTAATAATGCAATAAAAAGTACCTAATATATGGACACAAATCATTCAAGAGATGGTCTGATATTTAGTAAGGTTGTGTTAGGTTATGCTGCAACAGCAAATAAATTCCCTAATCCGGGGGCCTTAGCACCACAATTGTAGATTTCTTGCACAAGTGGAGTCTGATGTGGATCAAGCAACTGTCCAGGAAGACTCTTCTGAGAGGCGATCCAGGCCTCCAGGGTCCCAGGCTCCCTTCAAAATTAGTGTTGTCCCCGCCTCAACATGTGTCCACTAGGGTCAACACAGCAGACAAAAAGAGAGCTAAGGAGTCTCACAGGAGCTTTTATAGCCAGGCCACAAAGGGGCCTGTAGAGCCTGCAGCTGCAGCCATTGGCCAGAACTCAGTCACATGACCTCAACATAACTGCAAGGGAGACTGGGAAATATTGCCTTGTTAGGGGCTAGGAAGAAGAAACAGCACAGTGAACACACAGCATTGTTTCTGCTCTGTGCAGCAGAACTACAATTCTGTACAAAAAGAAAATGAAAACCCGGACTAAAATATTGATTGTGTGAGTTATGAGTAATTTCTTTTCTTGTTATTTATTTTGCAGACAATCTATGTGTGTACCAACTAATTAGTGGGAAACATTTTTTAAAGAATTTTGAAACAAGCCAAAAAAAGATTATATATACTATTTCCTTTGCAACCTAAAATACACCCATTTAAAGATGATAAAACTATAAAAGTAGAGAACTAAAGTGACCTCCACCCATTTCCGTAGCCAACTAAGGCAGGACTTGGAAAAGAACCATAATCTCTCTGAATTTGACTTTTGGCTGTTAACACCTTCATCACCAAATCATTTGTTTGTTTACACATAAAAACATCACCATGGGACATAATTTGGCTCTTTTGTTCTTGTTTGTTTAGGTGGCATTTCCCATCCCCATGCCAGTTTTCTGTTCTGGAGAGTGGGTATCAGGGCCCACTGCAGGAAGCAGAATTCTGGAAGGCAAAACACTTGTGCACAGACAGTCCAGCCTTAAGGCTCCTGGTTACTGCCTGGAATCCTCTGGCTGTGAGGGAAGGACAGAACAAGCTTGGAGTCTCTGGGCTTTTTCCCAGAGGGAAGATGTAGGTCTCATGCTCCTTAGAGGAAAAACTGGGAAGTTCTAATGTCAGACTCCACACACACCAAAGGGTGGTACAAGAATCGGCTGAACCCAAGCCTCACGAAAATGAGCCCAGCAAAGCTGCCCTGAACATCCTACTGTTTCTCCAAAGGTCATCCTCTGGTCTGGTCTCCCTAGGACTCTAGGGACCGTAAGTATGTGAGTGAAAAGAAAGTCTTAGTGTGGTCTTTCATCGCATATGGTCAGGGTAAGTCAATTGTATTAAGTATATTCATTCACAAAGCACTGTGCCTGGTTCTGTGCTACTCTCAGTTTAGCCAGTCTAAGGGTCTTAATTGTTCCAGAAGAGGAGTGAGGAGTTTAATGAGGATATGTCTTTATAGATAAGGAGCTGTATCTCCCATGAGAGCTTAGCACTCTGGGAAAGCAAACAACCATCAGATCTTGATGGCTTAGAAAAACAAGGCTTATTTTTTGTGCACCCAGCGTGAGTTGTCATTGGTGGGAAATGGAGATACTCTACTCCACATAGTCATTCAGGGACCCAAGCTGATGGAGGTTTCATGCCACATGCTTCCACAGATTCCACAGGGGAAAGGAATAGGACAACATAAGCACTGGCTCTTAAGGATTCTGCACAGAAAAAATATATGTCACTTCTGCTAGAATTTCATCCGCCAAAGCAAGTCATGAGGCTATACCTAATATTAAGGTGGCAGAAAAGTAGAATTCTAACTATTGCTTGGGAAAAGACCTGCAAATATTGGATTATCAGCATTAATGCCTATGTGACAGAGGAAGATCATTCCTCATGTTCATTATACAGCCTCTTTAAACAGCCTCTTCCTCTGATGGTTTTTAAGGTTGAGGTTGGGATGTTGGCTGCCTTCAGCCTGAGTTCAGAGGGAAAGCCTGGAATATCTGGAAAACTACTCCTGAAGAGTAGAACATAAACTATGTCTCCCTTCAGTGGTCTGCTATGTCAGGAATGGCCCAGAATGGAGTGTCTGATGTTGTTCTAGCTTTAGAGATGAAAGAGAGAAGACTGGGCACTCTGAGCCCTCAGAACACCCAAGTTCTTGAAGCTTCTGTTTTCTCTTTAGTGATTCAGTCTGATAGCAGGATGTTAGTTCAGTCTACTTTGGTTCAGGCCCTTGGTGAAATATTCTGTTGTTATTACATCCACCACTTATGTTTTCATGGCACAGGAAAATCCTTGAAATATAATACAATGTGGGTAAAATGATGGTCAAGAGATGAATGCTATGGCAGCAGCTGTCATGGGTTGAATCACATTTCCTAAAATTCATATGCTGAAGTTCAAATCCCCAGTGCCTCAGAATGTGACTGTATTTGCAGGTAGCAGTTTCAAAGGGGTAATTAAATTAAAATGAGATTTATGGATAGCCTTATTCCAATATGTGTGGTGCCCACATAAGAAGAGGAGATTAAGATGCAGATACGCAGAGGAATGGCCGTGTGGGGACACGAGAGAGAAGAGGCCCATCTGGAAGCCACTCTGAGAGGCCTCAGAAGAAAGTCTCAAAGCCTTGATTTTGGATGTCCAAAGCCTTGATTTCGGATGTCCAGCCACCAGAATGGTGAGAAAATATATTAATTACTGTTGTTTAGGTCTGTGGTACTTTCTTATGGCAGCACAAGCAAATTAATATAGCAGTTAATCCTTAACATACTCCCATCATTTAGGAATCCTTATCATTAAATACTATATGTGAAGGAGGTGAGGTTAGAACCGATTAAGTCACCTATCCAAGGTCATCTGAGATGGTTTGGCTGTGTCCCCACGCAAATCTCATCTTGAATTCCCATGTGTTGTGGGAGGGACCTGGTCGGAGGTAGGGTGCTGTTCCTGTGGCAGTGAATAAATCTCATGAGATCTCATGGTTTTAAAAAGGCAGTTTCCCTGCACAAGCTCTCTTTGCCTGTCACCATCCATGTAAGATGTGACGTGCCCCTTCTTGCCTTGCACCATGATTGTGAGGCCTCCACAGCCATGTGGAACTATAAGTCCATTAAACCTCTTTCTTTTTTAAATTGCACAGTCTCAGGTATGTCTTTATCAGCAGCTCATCCGCAAGCCACCATGAGAGGACTCAGAAGAAAGTAACCCTGCCAAAGCCTTAACTTCGGACTTCCAGCCTCCAGAATTATGAGAAAATAAATAAATTTCTGTTGTTTAGTCTGTGTTAGGTCTTCTTATGGCAACAGAAGCAAACTAATATATCAGGTAATCTGTGACATACTCCCAGAATTTAGAAATCCTTATTATTAAACGTTACAGGTGAAGAAGGTGAGGTTAGAACAGATTAAGTCGCCTGTCCAAGGTCATCCTATTAGCAAATGGCAGAGCAGATACTCAGACCAAAAACTGTCTTATTCCAAACCCCACACCAAAATCTCCCCCCAAAAAATGTCAACAGAAACACCAACATATTCAGAATGTCGTATGGACTGGGGATAGTGTAAGATTCCTGCCCTCTGCTCCATTTTCATGTGAAATTTTCTCTGAGCCCGAGAGGACCAATTAATGACCCGTCCCTCACTCAACAACTTCTGTCCTCTCTGGGACACCTATGTTGGGGTTAAGAACATGGAATTTGGAGTTAAACTGGCCAGGATCTGAGCTCCTGGAGACTTGGCTGTGGGTTTGCTGTGTGAAGTTGGGTGTGTTACTTAACCTCTCTGAGCCTCAGTTTCCTCATGGAGAAGACTCATTTGCTCTCAATGTCATGAGGTAACTGTGGAAACTCAGAAGATAAAAACTGTAGCTCATGACTCAGAGCCTGGCTCCAAGGGGGACAGAGTAACCCAGAAGTCTCAGGGCAGGGGTCCTCAGGGCAGCTCTGCTCTCTGGGCTGGTCTCAGCCACATCCACCTCTCCCCTAAGAGAGCTCCTGGACACCAAGAGGCCGAGTCTCACTGGGTTGTGTATCTCAGAGCAAAGCCCAGTGCCTGGCTCCTAGCAGTCCCTTGGGAAATATGGGTTGAACAAATTAAAGTGGAAACAGTGAATAGAAAAAGATATCAGGTCGGAAACTTCTGTGATGCTGTTTGTGCTTTTAGATATAATCTCCTGGAATCCTCTTGTTATTTTAGTAATTTAGAATTTTATTAAGCTCCTTAAGAAGATGCCAGTCAGCCTTGTGGTACTACAGGGTGCTGGCCCATTCCAGAGCTGAGCTTCAGAACTGGTTGGTGCCCCTGGCCTAGGTAGAGCAGAGGAGTATTCTCCCTCGTGGAATCTGAACTCTAGGTCTTGTGATTCATGCAAACATATGCAGGCTGACCCTCAGATGTAATTTAAGGACCCACTCCAGGGGCCAGGGCCAGCTTTGGCCGGAAGTGCTGTAAGTCCACTAGTGGGGTGGGTTGAAAGAAAAGGTGTGTGTGTGTGTGTGTGTGTGAAAAGACAAATGTGTGATGTTTCTGTCCCACTGCAGGAAGCATCCAGGGTACCAAGGCTGGCCCACACCACCTCTGTGACTTCCCTCCCCTACCCTGCCAACATCTCGTCCACTGAACACTGTATCATGCGTTTGAAGCCCAGCAATCATTTTCTAGGGCACGACTTAGAAACTGGGACACAGATCACTATTGATTGGTGAAATCCAAGAGCATTTCCTCACAGGGCAGAAAATGTCATTGGCAATTCATTTATTCATTCACCCATGCCTTCACTTACTCAAGGAGCTGGCTCTGATGAAGTGCTTGCTGACCTGGGGGTTGGAAGATAAATGAGACCTGGTCTCTGTCCTCTGGACACTCTTGGTCAAACACAAACAAGCATGAGCTAAATGTCCACGGTGATGAGCACTTTGCAGAGCCAGGCATGACACTGGGGGAATAGGGGTCAGCATCTCAACCAACCCAGGGTGAGGGAGAGGAAGGATGGGGGCAGGGGGAC